GGCCAGGCAACTGTCTCCCAAGTTCGTGGCATCGATGAGTGAGCACCTCCAATGCCGCATTCCTTTGTTGAAACATCTCAATTGGTATTCTTTCAATTCCTGGAGCCTTGTTTTTCTCCAATGCCTTCAGTGAAGCTTGAACTTCTTCCTTCAGTACTATCAGTTCTTGATCATACGCTACTTCCTGATATAGCTGAACATCGACCTATTCACTGGCCCATTGTTTCAGTACAGTGATTCTATGTATTCCTTCATCTTCTCTTGATGCTTCCTGCGTCGTTCAATATTTTGCCCATAGAAACCTTCAATATTGCAAGTCCAGGCTTGAATTTTTTCTTCAGTTCTTTCAGCTTGAGAAATACTGAACGTGTTCTTCCCTTTTGGTTTTGTAACTTCAAGTCACTGCATGTTTCATTGTAATACTTTGTCTTCTTGAGCTGCCCGTTGAAATTTTCTATTCAGCTCTTTTACTTCATCATTTCTTCCATTAGCGTTAGCTACTCGACATTCAAGAGTAAGTTTCAGAGTCTCTTCTGACATCCATTTTGGTCTTTTCTTTCTTTCCTGGGTTTTTAATGACTTCTTGCTTTCTTCATGTATGATGTCATCCTACAACTCAGCTGGTCTTCAGCCGTTAGTGTTTAATGTGTCAAATCTATTCTTGAGATGGTCTCTAAATTCAGGTAGGATATACTCAAGGTTGTATTTCAGCACTCGTGGACTTGTTTTAATTGTCTTCAGTTTCAGCTTGAACTTGCACATAAGCAACTGATAGTCTGTTCCACAGTTGGCCCCTAGCCTTGATTTGACTGGTGATATTGAGCTTCTCCATCATCTCTTTCCACAGATGTAATCAATATGATTCCTGTGTATTCTATCTGGGAAGGTCCACAGGTATAGTCACTGTTTATGTTGTTGAAAAAAGGAATTTCCAATGACTAAGTCATTGTTCTGCAAAATTCTATCATGCGACCTCCAGCGTCATTTCTATCAAGAACATATTTTCCAACTACTGATCCTTCTTCGTTTCCAACTTCCACATTCCAATCACTAGTAATTATCATTGCCTCTTGATCATATGTTTGATCAATTTCAGACTGCAGAAGTTGGTAAAAATCTTCATTTTCTTCATCTTTTGTATTCGTAGTTGGTTCATAAATCTGAATAATAGTCGTATTAACTGGTCTGCCTTGTAGACATACGGATATTATCCTATCACTGACAGTGTTGTACTTCAGGATAGATCTTGAAATGTTCTTTTTGATGATGAACCTGATGCCATTCCTGTTCAATTTGTCATTCCCAGCATAGCAGACCACATGATTGTTTGATTCAAAATGGCCAATACCAGTCCATTTCAGCTAGTGCCTAGGATATTGATATGTATGCATTCCATTTCATTTTTGACAACTTCTAGTTTTCACTGGCCTATTGTTTCAGAAGTAGAACGCCAGGTCCTTCTTCCTAGTCTGTCTTAGTCTAGACGCTCCACTGAAACATGTCCACCATGGGTGAACCTGTTTATAGTGGGCTGAAATACTGGAGGCATAGCTTCCAGTGTCACAGCAACATGCAAGCCACCAAAGTACAACAAGCTGATAAACAAGTGGTGGTCTTCGGCATGGAGGGCAAGAATTCTACCAGTGAACCTCCACTGCCCTCTATGGTACTTAATAAGAACACACTATTTTCCCCCCTAAGAATTTTGTCAGAGCTACTAGAAAAGACATCCACTCTTTCTCTTAGATCTTCTCCCAGGAGCCATTTAAACATGCAATGGAAAGAGCTTGTCTGAGAACAAAGCCACTTATTTGTAGGCAGACTAGAGAGATGAGGAAAAAGACACATTTACAGAGTAGTGCTGACATAATTTAGACCCTTGAACCCAGCTGTATTTGATGCCAGCACAACTTTTTTACTTCTGTCATGTGAACAAATAAATGTTGAAAGTTAACTTGATTTGGGAGCTACTGTTTCCAAATAAAACAGTTTTGACTAATATGGTAACTTCATGTGAAAACTGGGAGCCTAATATGCATGCCTGAAAAGACTGTCACCTTAGCTTTGCCCAAAGTATTGCATAAGGTCAAAGAAGGATTAAAACATAAATAAAATGAATAGTATCAACATTAATATGCCTATTTCCTAAATTGAAGTGGATGCCATATAGCTCCTATAAACTCCAGAAACTTCATAATTCATAAGGCATTATATATAAATACTCTTGGAGAACATAAATTTTCCATTATTAGCATTTCTAAACTTCTTATAATTACCAAGAGCTATTGTCAAAGACCAAACCCCTGGCCAAGGTTTCCAGTTTTACAGAGTCAAAGAAACTGAATGAACACATTGCTTACATCTCATTTCTAGAAATGTTTAGATAACATTTATTAAGCCCTTACTATATATGCCAGGTGGTTACAATAAGCATTATTTAATGGCCACTTCGATGAAGTATGTACTACTATAATCTTCATTTTCAAGATTAATAGGAGAGATTAAAATAACATGCCTAATAATAATGGTAGTAGTAGTGAACATTTCTATGTCTCAGACACTGTATTGTTTTACAAGCAGCATCTTATTTAATCTTTATAACTGTATTCTGAGGTAGATACCGTTATCCCCAATTCTATAGATGAGGAAACTGAGGCTTACGGCCTGAGATGCAATGACAATAATTGACACTTCCCACAGGAATCTGTCAGTGAAAAACATCCACACCTCATATCCCAATAAACTCCATGCCATTATCCTAAGTGCACATCTGCTCTGTTTAATAAAAACTGGAACTCATCTACATTGTGTATGTTCTTGAATTGCCATGTGGTTTACATCTGTATTTTCTTCTTAATTCCTCATCTCTGGAAAGGGTAAAGATGCACATTAAAGGAAATGCATACTATTTATTCCAGCTCAAAAGAAAGAAACAGAAACAAAAAAAGCGACACTTAATACAAAGTAATCACGTTTCATTTTACAAACTGTTCCAACATTGGGCAGGTGTCAAACGTGAAGAAATTTTATTTCAGATCTGCAGAACTGGTAACAAGTTATTACTAAACTGAAGTACTAGTAGAATAAATCCTGCACCTCTTATAAGGGTCATGTCTCAGGACTTAGACAGCAGACAGGCAAAGGATATCATTTTTTAAAATCATATTTTGTGCAAAAAACTATTTTAGGCATTTTCTTGTCAGAATGCATGAGATTATTTACAAGTAGTTTTAGAAGCATAAAGTGGCACTGAAAGCATTAACTAATTAATCCCATGAGAGGAGACTCTGATCTTTTACTTAACCACAGAATTATAAACCATATATCCACATATACCCACATATACATATACAATAAAATGCAATAAAAAATATATTTATTGATAGTATATTACTGAGAAAGTGCCACATGACAAAGTTTTTTTTCACATAAATAATCATTTTCTTATTTTGGGTATCAGAAGTATTCTTATTGTATATATTCTTTAACAAGAGTCTCCCTGAAACCAGCTACTGAAGAGCAAGAAGAAAACAAAAAAGCAATCAAACAAGAGACTGACCCTTAAAAATCAATGTGTTTGATTTTTTTTTTAATAAATCAAGCCACTGGGGATCAAGCTAAGCCTCCAATCAGTCAAAACAGGCCCCTTCAGCTGGTAGGAGGGCCGGCATACTGGCTGACACACTTGTAAAACGTACCTTCCTAAACCAACTAGGGTAGGAGTCCTGGTGGCAGTGGTTAATGAAGCACACGGCTGCTAACTGATAGGTCAGTGGTTCGATCCCACCAGCTGCTCTGCAGGAGAAAGATGTGGCAGTCTGCTTCTGTAAAGATTACAGCCTTGGAAACCCTATGTAGAGGTTCTACTCTGTCCTATAGGGTCGCTATGAGTTGGAATCGACTTGACAGCAACGGGTTTGGTTTTGTTTGGCCTGGTTTAAACCAACCAGGAGTGGTTGAGTCGTTCCTCTTCAGCAATTACCTTTTTTTTTTTTAATGGTAAACCTACTTTTTTGCAAGAAAGTTCAAACCTGTTAACACTGGCCAAAATCAGAAAGTAAACAAATTTAATTTCCATAGTGTGATAATTGATTTTTTTTTTTTTAAATGAGAACAGGAGATCTTGAGGAGTTGAACAAATAGGGAGGTGAATTCGGTGAAGTCACCATTCTTAAAAGCCTGCTGAGCTGACTCAAGGTTCAGCCCAGGCCCTGAAGGATGCCATGATAATGCATGCTTTCTAATGCATGACACCCGAGCCAGCATTTGTTAAATACTGTAAAAAAAAAAAAAAAATCTTCCATAATGTACCGTATGGCAAATATTTTTTTTTTTTTAACTTGCTTTTATTTGCTAAAATTCACAGTGTCCCTTGAACTCTAAGTGACAGGCTTCAGTCTCACACACCTGCATCGTGCTCTCTGTAATCGTTCTGATGAGTGTTTGCCGCGGCAGCGGTAAAGTCAAAGGAAAATATAACACCTTTCCATTCACAAATACTCATTATCTGTTCCCCTCCTTCCTACCCTACACACACACACACACACAAATTCCTGTTTGTAACTGAACTTAACTTCCATGCCAAGAATCTGGAGGAGGAAAGATTTCCTTCCATCCCTACTATTTGTGAGTAGGGCCAGGATAAGTCCTAATCTCATGTTCCAGCTGTCTTCTAATATTGACCTTGAATCACAAACCTCAGCCACTGAGCCATGAACACCTTTAAATCTGCATGACCTCAAAGTCATGTACCTCACTCAGAGATACAGCATTTAGATACTGCTCTAAATGGCTGTTTTTGAATACAGACTAAGACTCTTCTGGGTCCAGTGTAATAGTTACTGCCTCTGTTTCTAGACCTCTTTGTATAGTGAGTCCACAAGCATTTGGGCTTAAATATAAGGACACTGAGGCCCACGACCCCATCATTGGACCCAGTTTGACAGAAGCATCCTAGATATCAACACTTCTCCACATTAGTAGAGCAGCATAGTACTTACTGAGGAAGTAAGACATCTCTAACGAGAGCCAGAAGATTGCTGTCAGAATCAAGGCTCGCCTCCTTCTTGTCATCCCCAACCTCCTGGTTCACGAGTAGAGATGTGGTTTCTGAGAGCAACCGCAAGCTGAAGAGCCTCCACTCCACTTGAAAGAAACAAATGCCAAGAATGTGACTACATGCAGATGGAATGAAAACAGAATGTGTAACTGATAGAATTCTCGTTGATGTGGTCACACTTACCATTTTGGCTTTGAACCAGGGAGACCAAGGGCGGCAGGATATAATCAACAACCTAAAACAAAGGATGTACAAAATTTGGTTCTAATGTTTTCAAAATCAAAACAGATATTAATCACTATCTATGCCTTCTCCACTGACAGAATCAAAGAAACAGGGAAAAAAATCAATTAAATTTATCCTGGATTTAAACTCTCCATAAAAACATTTAATAAACCATCAAGCTCATTTAACTCTGAAAAAGTCCTCAAGTCAAAATGATATTATGATCACCAAAAGACTAATTCTCAAACTTTTAGAGTTTATGAAAAGAACTTTAATGTAGAATGCAAAATCTGGTTGGCATAGATTGGCATTAAACCATCAAATTAATATGTATAAGCTGATGATCATACTTAAGTTATAAGCTAAACGACAATCAAAGTGTTGGAGGAAAAAAAGAGACATGTAATCCTCATGTTTTATCAAGTACATTAAAGACCTATGACAAGTTAATCTTGGTTATTTTTAGACACAGACTCAAAAAATGTAAATCCATTACACAAAACAATGCCATAGTTTCACCAGTTAAAACAGGGCACAGTCAAATACACTCTGAAATTTACCCAAAAATAATAAATTTTTTCCCCAAAATACTGATTAAAGAAAAAAGGACAAATCAATGCTTAAGTCTAATTTTGAAACCTACTATCTCATTTAATGGAATCTTCTGGAGGAAATAAACAAAATTCCTGTTGATTGCACTGAATTTATACCTAAGCCCCATGCTTGTTCTCTCTATACTGATGAAAGGTCAGGGGAAGCTATTACAGTCAAATGCCATCTTGGTGTCCAAACCAACAAAAGGATGTCCTGCCCAGGTAAGCATCTCCACTCCTAGGTGGCAACCCATCTAAAGTAACTTGTTTTATTCTCCATTTCATGTAATAAGTTTATATGTAATATAGTGAAACCTGTGAGAGCCAAAACTCGCAACAAGCTGAAATTGCCTTGTTTTTCCAGGTCTCGCAAGTTTTCTGCCTTCCACAGGGTGCAGTCTTACCACTTTTCTATCGCTCGTTTTAGTGGAAAATATCTGAGCTATCCTTCTGACAGGCTTCTGCCTTACACAGGTTTCATATATCGCAGGTTTTACTGTATCATATCTAGGTATTTGTACAAGGACCCTAAGAACCCAGAATGATTCCGTCACTCCTCTTCCACAAGAGATGGCACAACACTCTCAAAGCACAGATATCATGCTCCATCACGGTATTTTGAGAAAAATGCTAAATTTCCAGTTTTGGCAAAATCAGACACTATGTAATGGAAAAAATACATCCCACTATCAACACAATCAACATCTATTTTATACCTTTGAGAGGTTATGTTAGGAGAGGGGAGAGATTGAAAATAAATGAACTAACTGTCCAATTCAAAAAGTTTGAAAAAAAACCACAACTGGGCATGGCCAAAAAACCAAAAATGTCAGATAAAAGATGACTGACTGCACAGAAGTCAATAGTATTCCTATATACCTACAACAACCAATTAAATATAATAATTGAAAAAAGATGCCATTTGTGAGAGCAACAAAATTCTAAGATACATATGACATCATGCTCTTTATAGAAAAAATATGTAGATTACTTAAAGGTACTATAGTCATTCATGGGAAGATTCACAGCAGTCAATTCTCTGCAAATTAATCTGTAATTCCAATGCAACACAAGTAAGACCCACATAAGTAAATATATATGCACATACAAGCATAAAATAAATGATTTAGACTAGCTGACAGTATGTAAGTTGAGATTAGTAAGAGGATTTTATTATCACTATCAGAACTTAACAGCTACTAGGATACAAGAAAAATGAGCCCATTTATAAACATAAAATACCAAAAACAAAACAAAAATCAAACCCATTGCCACTGAGTGGATTTCAACTCACAGAAACCCTATAGGACAGAACTGCCCCATACAGGGTTTACAAGACCGGTGGCACACTGGTTAAGAACTCAGCTGTTAATCAAAAGTTTGGCAGTTCGAATCTACCAGCTGCTCCCTGGAAACCCTATTGGGCAGTTCTACTCTGTCCTATAGGGTCGCTATGAGTTGGAATCAACTCGATGGCAACGGGTTTGGTTTGGGTTTCATTTAATCTTTATGGAAGCAGATTGCCACATCTTTCTCCCACAGAGTGGCTAGTGGGTTTGAACTGCCAACCTTTCTGGTAGCAGTCCAGCGCTTTAACCGTTGTGCCACCATGACTCCCTGCACATCAGTTACTGCAAATGATTTTCAACGGCATGTCCTAAATGGAGTGAATATCTGTGACTTCCGGATGCTAAAGACAGCCCTAGGACATTTAAGCTAAATGATGAGAAATGTGCTAAAATATGTAAAAAACATTTTCATCTCTAAACCTTACTTCATTTGTTCATCAACAAAGCCACTGATGCCCAAGAAGATGCTGTGTTTATAATTTAGCAAACTTACTTTACATTTTAAGAAACATTAAACAATATGAGATACTAGAAGTTCAGCAGCTTTAAACTATAAATAACTATGTAATCACATTGCAATGTTCTTCTTTTCAAAAGGAAAAAAGAAATAACACTCTTATAACCTATGAAAGAGTGTAATTCAAAACTTACCCATATATGATGAAAAGTATGTTTTATGATCTTTACTATTTTTGTAGATGGGTCACTTTCATTTTTTGTTTATTTTACCAATGAAATTAAATCATTTGAAAATTGAAGTTTACTTTTCTAAGAACTCAACTAAAATTCTTATTCTGTATTTGAAAATTAATCATCACTGCCTTTATTTCAGTAGACCTTAAAAAATCTGGTACGTCTGTCTGACAGTACAATAATTTATATGCTCCTATCAACTTCTAGTTCCCCTTTCTCAGCAAAAGGTAATGACAAAAATACACAATGGATTTGCTTAGGACAGGACTGCTACCTCTGGTAATGGTAGAATGGGTCACTCAGAACAACTTTTTTGAGGAGGAAAACTAAGAAAGCCAGACAAAACACTATTTAAATCTTCTTTACAATATTAGATAGTTAAATAGATGTTGAGGAAATACCACGGTCACATGAGATTGGCAAAAATTGAAAAGCTTGATAATATGATGTTGGTAAGGCTGTGGACAAGCAGGTACTCTCATACATTACTGGTAGGAAGGCAAAATGGTAGACTCTTATGTAAAGAACTCTGGCAACATCTAACAAAACTATATATGTATTTACCCTTTGATCCCACAATCACCCTTCCAAGAATTTACCCTGAAGATACACCTTCAACAACTAGAAATTACATACGCACAGATGATTTACTCTAGCACTGTTTATACTTGTAAAATATTAGAAACTACCTAAATGTCCAAACATAGGAGATTGATTGAATAAACCATGGTTCACATATACACAGTGGAGTATTATGACGCTGTAATAAATGAACAAGATCTCAATGAGCTGATACGGAGTAGTATAATTTCCAACATTTATTGTTAAATGAAAAAAGCAAAGTACAAAAAAGCATATATAGTATGTCACCTTTTGTGTAAAAAAGAAGGGGAAAGAGGGAAACATATTCTCTTTACAAAAGAAACACTGAAAGGATAAACGAGAAAACAATGAAGTTGATTACCTCTAAGAGTGGGGAGAGTAGGATGGTGATGGACTAGAAGGGATATATGTCTGAGGGAAGGGAGTGACACTGCTTTAAATTTATCTTTGTCCACAGTTTTGACTTTTGTAAGCATGCTAATATTCTACATATTCAAAAAATTAAAACCAACAAGGAAGGGAAGGGAAAAATAAAACCTAAAATTGAAAGCAAACTGAAATAAATCAAGCCAATTGTATTTCATATCAATACTATAACCACACTAAAAGGTTGGGAGGAGAAGAAGGAACCCAAATACCTCATGAACACAGTATTGACTACGTACCCTCAGTCTTGGGCGGCACTTAGTGGATGGCGAGTTGTGGGGGAGGGTTCTGCAAACAAATTCTGGGTCTCATTAGGTTTGTGTTTGTATTGGTTTAGGTGAAGTGATCCTATAAGTATTTCACATGTTATTATTAGATTGCAGGCGCACTGGTTGCACAGTAGTTAAAGTGCTCGGCTGCTAACCGAAAGGTCAGCAGTTCGAACCCACAAGCACTCTGCAGGAGAAAGATAGTGGCAGTCTGCTTCCGCGAAGGTTTACAGCCTTGGAAACCCTATGGGGCAGTTGTACTCTATCTTACAGGGTCACTATAAGTTGGAATAGACTCAACGGCAGTGGGTTTAGGTACTGGACTGAACGAATGAGAAAACGCAATGCTGCTGTTGGGAGCCAGACTTTTCAGTAAAAAAGCAGGGACACACGAATATAAAATGGGAAAAGGCAAAAAAGAACCACTTAGGGGCAGACTGGATTGGTAGATGTCAGTGTGAACTTACGATTTCAAAACACATGTATGTATATGTACATGCAGTCGTGTGTGCATGTATATATATAAGTATGTACATGTGTGTGTACATATATATATGTGCATGTTTATATGTGTACATATATTCATATATTTCCTAGCTCTGTGTTTTGGAACGGCCTAGAAGCTAAGACATTCTAGTAGAGAGCAGTACATTCAGTGACCCAATCTTGGTCTCCTATTATTATTCCCCACTAAAGGCAACCAGGATGCCTAAGAGAAATGACTGATTCCAGGGCCAGAGCAGAACAGTTACAAGCTGAACCTAGACCATCTTGTTGTACCAGAAAGAAAGCACTCACAAAATGATGGGGTATGTCACGAGGACACAGAAGCCAACTTTAAAGCGCTCATACTTGCCAAACTCTGGTATAATTTTAACACCAATTAAATATAGTAATGAATCATAAGCCATTGATAAAAATAGGAATCTGTACCAATCAGAATAATGGTCCTCCAAATAACAGTCCCTCCAAAATGCCTATATTCAAATCCCCAAAACCTGTGCACATGCTGCTACCTTACAGGGCAAAAAGAACTTTGCAAATGTGATTGAGTTAAGGATTTGGGGATGAGGAGAT